CCAGAGCACTACAGGAAACAATAACTGATTGATGCTGGGAGAGAATTTTTAATACACATTTTAAATATTCTTATGACCTTACTAATAATCATAATGATGCAGAAAGAACAAACACAGTCAGGCCACTTTATTCCTTGTTTTAAGTGTCTTTGAGTTATTCCTCAACTAATAATTTTCCTGACATTTTTGCAAAATTACACATCTCCAAGTTGTGTTCTTGAAATCCACATTTAAATCTTGACATTCAAATGCAGTTTACATTAAAATTCATTGGTTTATCCAAAACCAAGTTCTTGGAGTTCTACCCCAAGTTTTGCATTATGTTTCCAATTCCTATACCTTTGGCAGGGTTTCCCAGTGAGTACGAAGGTTGTGGGGCACATCTGACTGGGCAGCCCCCCACCAGGCTGGCTTAGACCTCTGGGAACTGCCCCAGGAGATAGCATATCTGTGCATGACAAGGTGTGTGGCACAGACTATGTACTGCTGCTGCAAGGCCAAGCCTTCAAGGACCTCAATTCAATCAGTGACCATGAGATGGTGGAACTCAGGATCCTGCATGGAGGAAGCAAATTGGTAAGCAGGACCAGAGCCCTGTACTTCCAGAGAGCTAACTTTGACCTCCTCAAAGACCTGTTTAGAAGAATCCCATGGGATAGGGTTCTAGAATTGAAGGGGGTCCAAGAGAGTTGGTCAATATTCAAGCATCACACCTTCCAAGCTCAAGACCAGTGTATTCCCATGAGCAAGAAATTAGGCAAAGAGGGAAAGAGATCTGCATGGATGAGCTGGGATGTGGAAAAAGGAACAGGCTACACCGGAGGTCTATAGGAACATCATTAGAGTATGCTGGAAATGAGTCTGGCAAGTCTTTACTTCTGAGGTCAGCCATCAGGAATCCCAGACCTGAGAGGTAAGAGAAGAAACCTGGAGAAAGGCCTCCCCTTCATCATAGAAGATTGGGTTAGAGATCAGCTAGGTAGACTTATCACCAATAAATTCATGGGCCCTGATAGGATGTACTCACTGGTGATGAGGGAGCTGGCAGATGTTGTTGCTAAGCCACTCTCCATCATCTTTGAAAAATCATGGAGAATAGGAGATGTGCCTGATGACTGGAGGAAAGCTAATGTTACTCTCATCTTCAAAAAGGGCAAGAAGGAGGATGTGGGAAACTACTGGCTGGTTAGCCTTATCTCCACCCCAGGAAAGGTGATGGAACAGATAATTCTGGAGGTCATTACCAAGTGTCTAAAAGAAAAGAAGGTCATCAGGAGTAGTCAGCATGGATTCACCAAGGGGAAATCATGCTTGACCAATCTGATAGCCTTCTACGATGGCATGGCAGAATGGGTCAATAAGAGGAGAGCAGCGGATGTTGTCTACTTGACTTCAGGAAGGCTTTTGACACTGTCTCCCATAATGTCCTCATAGGTAGGCTAAGGAAATGTGGGTTAGATGAATGGACAGTGAGGTGGATGAAGAGCTGCCTGAATGGCAGAGCTCAGAGCATCATCATCAGTGGGGTAGAATTCAGTTGGAGGCCTGTGGTCAATGGTATTCCCCAGGGATCAATACTGGGTCCAGTCTTACTCAGCTTGTTTATCAATAACCTGGACAAAGGGATAGAATGCACTCTAAGCCAGTTTGCTGATGATACAAAACTGGAGGAAGTGGCTGATATACCTGAAGGCTGTGCTGCCATTCAGCAGGACCTTGGTAGGCTGGACAGTTGGGCGGAGAGAAACCTCATGAGGTTCAACAAAGGCAAGTGTAGGGTCCTGTACCTGGGGAGGAATAACCCCAAGTACCAATACAGTTTGGGGGCTGACCTACTAGAGATCAGTTCTGGAGAGAAGAACTTGGGAGTCTTGGTGGATGACAAGTTGACTATGAGAAATGTGACCTCATATTATTCTGCTTGCAGAATAGGCTCAGTGCTCCCCCGCTGAAGAAAGCCAAACACTGGGGGTCTGTTCCAGCCAAACCTTAACCATACACTTAACTTCATCATGCCCGTGCAGGGACAGCTTGAATATGTGATCCTGTAATGAGCAATCACTAAAGCACAGTGGAGCTCTGGGAACATGGGTTGCTGTATTGCTCCACTCCTACACAGCTGGGGACCTGCAGTGCATTTTGGAGAACTAGAGCATACAGAATTAACTTGATCTTAATTTAGTCCCCTGAGTACACCATAAAGTTCCCAATTTGGTAACGCTGTCTTCCGAGGACATTATAACATGCCAACAAAGTGACTGTTTTCTCATCTGATGAAAGTGACAAACTGCCACAATACAAAGTATAAAAAATTTAGACCCTTCCTAGTTGTGGTAGCTACTGTGCCATCAGAAGATGACATCTGATATCTGTATTAAGAAAAATGAAAGAAAATGTTTACAGTATGCTAGTCAGTAAGACAAAAATGAACAAAAGTGCCGACCAATCTACAACAATTTTCTTTGCACCTACTTACATTTTAACCCTACCATCCCAAACTGAGCTTGTCAAGTTACCCTTCAAATCAAATGCAAGAGAAAAATCCATCCTTGGCTTTGCAACTATAAACCCAGCCAGTCTAGTAAAGTGAGAGTTACTCTTTCATGTATTTGGCAAATCTGGGAGCAGAATTTACCACTTGGTATAAATATTTCTGCATAGTTTCTTTAAAAAAAATAATCTTGCCTACTCGTCTTCCTGGCAGACTCTTAGAAAGTAGTAAATATGCAGATGGGCATAGTGATATATTTTGTATCAACATATTTTAAATGTGTGCATATGCATTAGCTATATAAATACATTCCCCAGGAAGTCTGCCAGTGGATATACTACAAAGCCTTGTGTGTTACATTTGGGTTTGCTTGCGCAGTAGCACAGCAGCATCAGGAAGAACCGCTCTAGTTGTATTTGCTCTACGACAGCTCACAGTTACCTGTGCAGTTTCCTGTTTCCATCTGCATGTAAAAATGTTTTAGATTTATATAAATATACGTACATACACAAATGAGCAAGAATATCATAGAATCATAGAATGGTTTGAATTGGAAGGAACCTTAAAGATCCTCTAGTTCCAAACCCCTGCCATGGGCAGGTATAACTTTCACTAGACCAGGTTGTTCAGAGGTCCATCCAGCCTGGCACCTCCAGGGATGGTGCATCCACAACTTCTCTATCCAATCTATTCCAGTGCCTCACAATGCTCACAGTAAGGATTTTTTCCCCAGTATCTAATCTAAGCCTATTCTCTTTTAGTTTTAATCCATTCCCCCTTGTCCTGTCACTAAGTGTTCTCCATCTTTCTTATAGGCTCCCTTCAGGTAGCAGCGGGCCACAATTAGGTCACCCCAAAGCTTTCTCTTTTCCAGGCTAAACAATCCCAATTCTCTCAGCCTTTCCTCATAGGAGAGGTGCTCCATCCCTCTAATCAACTCTGTGTCCCTCCTCTGGACTCGCTCCAACAGGTCAATGTCCTTCCTGTACAGGGTACCCCAGAGCTGGATGCAGTGTTCCAGGTGGGGTCTCACCAGAGCAGAGGGGCAGAATCCCCTCCCTCGACTCTGGTTACGCTGCTTTTGATGCAGCACAGGACATGACTGGCTTTCTGGGCTGCCAGTGCACATTGCTGGATCATGTCGAGCCTCTAATCCACCAGCACCCCCAAGTCCTTCTCAGCAGGGCTGCTTTTGATCTTTTCATTCATCCCCCAGCCTGTATTGATACCAGGAGTTGCTCTGATCCAGGTGCAGCACCTTGAACTTGGTCCTATTAAACTTCATGAGATTCCTATGCGCCCATTTCTCCAGCTTGTCCAGGTCCCTCTGGATGGCATCCTGTCCTTCAGGTGTGTCAACCACACAATATGTACTGCATATACATATAGTCTAATGCCTTCATTATAAAGCTGTTATAAAGCCATAACAAAGTCTATGAAGTTTTGGTGAAATATTGCTCTGGGTGATACACGAAGACTATAGCAGTATGTCAAATCCATATGACATATCAAGTTAAATTGTACTTGATAATAATCAACACAAGAGTAATTCCCCACTGACCCAGCTGCTGCGTCTTCAGCTCTAGTGCTGTGCTTGCTCTGTACCACTCCATGCACAAAGCCTGTCCCATCCCGTGCTGTCCAGTATCTCTGCTCCTCCACTGCCTCTGGTCCTGCACCCTCTCCTTGCTTTTTCTGTTCTCGAGAAAAATTGCCACACAGACAGATCCCTGAAAGCAAGTGGAACAAGCTAGTCTTGCCCAAGCTCTGGAGTCCTACCGTGGGGGCTGGAGAGAAGCAGCCCTGGCCAATGTTCAATGCTGCCCTGTGCTGCAACATTCCTTCCCAACTGGACCAACTTCCCCCTCCTGGACTGGCTAGAGGTTGGAGACTAGCAAAGGACAAGAGAGGGAGGACATCTGCCCTTGAGACCCCACCATCCCCTTGTCTAAAAGATTTAACAGTGTTTCCATGTTTCTTGCTATTACTGTGCTCCTTTTCCGGTGCTGGTACCGTGAGTGAGTCAAAGGGTATTGCACATCACTATTTACATGAGCACTGGCAGGTGGGGGCAACGGAGGAAGCGGTTGCAGTGTGGTGGGTGGATATGTACGTGACGGTATGGTTAACCATGCACTATGGAACCATGTGGATACTGTTGCAATGGTGCTATGAGAACCATGCTCTTCTACTTCATTGAGCAAGGAAAAGCTCCAACAAATACTGTAGTGGGAACACAGCAAAAAGACAACTTTGCGTATAATTCTAGACAAAAATCAACTTGCTTTTTCAATGATGATAGGCTGGAATGAGCATTCTGGCATTTCTGCCCCCCACCCCCAACCCCTTCTCTAGAGCTACTATTTAGATGAGCTACAGTATTAAGAGAGAAGCTGCAAAGATGCTAGCTGCAAAAATAAAGGATGAAATAAAAGTCAAGCATCCACATTCCTCCCAACTAAAAATGAAGTTCTGAGGAAATGGAGGAGGGAAAAGAAAAGGAACTTACCACACTGCGAGTGAACTTTTCTAGAGAAGTTCTACGACCTTGCTCATTCTCTGTCTTAACAAGGAAAAAAGTGGGGAGAGAAAAATACAGAAAAAAACCCCTTCAGCTTAAATGCAGTCTTTCAAAACAGCAGCAAAATATAGAAAAGCAGCAAGTGGAAAAAGTTGTAAAAAATGTAAAAAGCAGAAATCAATGTTTGCAACAGCAAACATAAGAAATCAAAATGCCTTAAAGAATGAGAGACATCGCTACTTTTACTCTCAGAGAATGTTACCTTTTCTCCTGTGAGATTTTTGAATGGCTCAAACAGGTCTGTGCATTGCTGTGTCTTACAGCTATTGGTATTGATTTCTTGTTCATTGAGTTGTCCTTCTGGCTGTTTGAGCTGGGACCTCTGATTCTGGTTAACATCTGCCAAACAGCTGATCGGAGGCTCCCATCTACTTGCTTAGAGTGATGAAAAAAACACAGTAACTTTTACACTATTAAAAGCAATGTGTGAGTGAATACAGCACTGGAAGAAAACCACCACTGGACTCATTGCCAGGAAACCTACACTCTTCTACTTACCCAGAGGGTAGAAGCATATTTCCATTAAGTCTGGCTACATCAAAACAGAAGACAGCATACACATGTCTTTGAAAGGCCACAAAAAGATAGAAGGCAGATTTAGGACACCGATATTTCTTGTACCTGGAGTACAGGACTATTCAAATGCAGGAAGACCTTCAACTGCACTGTGAGAAGACAAGTGTGTGCATCACAGTTTTATTAATGTAACCCTGAGAAAGCTGCTCACTGCAGCGCTTCATTCATTTGGCACAAGGGAGATCTAATTGTCACTAACAAGGAAGAACTCAATAATGTAGTGGTATGTTTGCTGGAATATCTAAGAGAAAAAAATTGTTATGGAAAAGAGAAGAAACAATATGAAAGAAAGTCATTGCAGTCAGAAAGTTGTCAGCACTGCTCATTTCCAGGAGAGAAACTTATTTTAAGTTTACTGGTGAGCCAGCAAAATGGGTGTGGTAAGATGGAAGTAAAACTGCTGCAAAGGAGATAAGGAGCTATGTACAAGGGAAAACCACAGCAATGATGGTGCATGAGAGTACAGTGGAAATAAGCATTGCACTGGAGAGACAATAGCTGACATGTCATCTGCCACAGATTCAGCTGCAGTAACAACCCCCAGAACAAAGCATCAGTGCAAATATCAGATGGAAAAGATGTAAGGAAGCCAAAAGCTCAGATAAATAAGATGAGAACTTGTGTAGGTGAGTCTAGGCAAAGCCTTTTGATCCTTCTGCATGTTCATCCCAGCTTTCACAGCTCTCTGATGTCTACAAGGTTAGTCTGAAGCATCCCAGGCAGAGATGAGGCAGATTGTCCCTGCCACATCACCAGAGATGAGATCAAAATATAAGGCTCTTTTAAGACAAGCAATATTCTTTGTCCAGATGAAAGAGTCAAGCAACCTCCCCACTTATAACTGTTTGAGGAAGCTACACCATCAGCTCTGATGTCCCAGAAGTGGTATTAAAAGTGAAAGCTAGAGGCATGTCATTTTAGCCCACATGGAGAACAGAGCCAAGGCCTCAAAGCAAGCACCAAACAACAAAACAGACTTCCCGGCTGGCAGGAAGGCAGTGTTGTACCCAGTCCAATGGTCCCTAAAGGAGTATTTAACATGCACTAACCCAAGGGTTAGTTGCCTCTCCTTGCATGTGAGAGGAGGAGAAAGGGGAAAGAAACATCACTCTTCTGCTGAGTATTACAGCAGTGCAAGTGCTCAGGGCATCGCAGATCCCCTCTTTCAAGGAGCCTCAGAGGTGTCCCCACACCCCGAAACAGCAGAGGTGACAGGGAGAGCCTGCAGTCCTGCCACCTTGGCTGAACGTGTCTCAGTGAGCAGGATTAAGGACAGGAGTGCCCAGCTGGGCAGCCAAATTAAAGACACAATTTCATTCAGGAGAAGAAATACCTGGACAAAAGACTGAGTGTTTTGCAATGATCCCTAGGGGAGCAAGGCACTTGGAGTTTGCAGCGTTGCATTGCTGCGGGCTGGAAAAATCAGTGTCTCGCCCAACTGCATTTTGAAGTGAATGTTTGGTGTGCACTGGGGGCAAAAGAGAGTGAGCTGCTGAATGCAAACTGCGCTGTGTCCCTGCACTTGCCATCAAAATTTAGTGCCTCTGCTTTTTCTACCTGCAAGGTGAGGCAGCTTCCCACCCAGAAGAAAGGCAAGATAGTGGTCTTCAAAGATGGTGAGCATGTTGTTGGGGTGCTGAGAGCTTGTCTGGCACAGGGAGCCCCCACAAGGCTGTTTGCTGCCTACCACAACTGAAGACGTGTGGGGAAGCAGCCATGGGGAGCACTGACAGTGTCTTACAGAAGCACCTTGCAAAGCACAGTCTGCAGTCACTCTACACATTTGGCATGGTGGTGGCAGGCTGGGACCAGCTGGATGCATGGAAAGCTCATCCCTATAGCATCCAGCTCTGAGTCAAAGCATGACATTTTCTAGTAAAATAAAAAGCAGCTGAGGCCGGCTGGCTGCAGAGTGATTAGCCGGCTGGAGCAGTTTTAATGTCTGTGGGTGTGGGTGCTGGCTGTATGGCTCACTGGCTCTTCCTGTCTGCTTGCCCCTGTGGCTGGCAGCCTGCTGTGGATGGAGCTGCCTGCCCACATCTCTCCACCACGGTGCAGAGGTGGGGAGGCTGCCTTGCACAGCAAATGAAGGAAATTTAAAAATAACAAAGTAAAAAATAAATAAAAAAATAAAAAAATAGACTGAGTCAGATCTATCTCAGTCCTGGGAACAGACCTGGCGTGTGGACCCTGGAGCCGTGCCTGCTGCAGCACCACAGCAGCATTTGCACAAACATGCACTGTGTGTGCAAAGGGGCAAAGGCAGAGAATGTGCATGCCAGTCATGTAGTCTTCCTAGGTACAAAAAAAGCAAACTTTGCCAGTAAATACACCAAGAGACTCTACCAGCTAATGGCAAAGGACATGTGCATTTGGATAAAATATGAAACAACTATCCCTGCTGCTACTGAAAACCTCTCAGCCCAGGTAGATACAGAAAACCAGATTTTGCCACTTAGAAGCCATTCACTGATTATCGAGTTTCTTCTCCAAATTTTCCTTTTCTAATGATTAATTATTTACACAGCCATTCAAAGTTCCTTTGTGTAGATTCTGCTGGCACAGAGTTTAAGCAGAAAAAAATTAAGAAAACCAGTTGACATTGATTATTAAAAGTAATTATGAGAAAAGCGCTCAGCATCTTTACAACATGCAAAGCAAGTCCTGCCAGTGAATCAAACTGTCCATGTGTGCCCTGATGGGACTGAGATGGGGGCATAATCTGCATTAGGAACCTTCCTGGACAATATAGAGCAGTCAGCACAGTGGTCTGCATAAAAGCAATGCTTCAAAAGGTGTGTGCAGAAAATGGAGCCTGTCCCTCCTGGCATGAAGGTCCTAACCATTCCCTTGCTGACACTTTTTGCCAGGGATCTGAAAAGGCATAGAGAAATACATATAAAAACTTGGTCTTCTGAACTTCAGGTCTGCAAAAATCTCTCCCTCCCTCCTTCACTCCCTGCCTCCCTGGGTTTATTTTGTCAGCTATCAAATTCTTCTTTTGGTATGAGACTTTGCGGTGTGGAGTGGTGTTTATTTTGAACTTTAACTTGGTGAAAAAGATGTGTTCCAGAGAGAATGGCATCAGATGAAAATAAAGGATAATTACTTCCCTGACCAATGCCCAGGGTCCTGGGCTTCTCAGGCAGTCATGTCTAGCTGTCCAAAGTGAGAAAACAAAGGCACTACCAAGTGACCAGAACAGTATTTTGCATATATTTTGTGTCCATTTGAACAGGACCATGGTGAATTCACACTTCTCTGAACCAGCTGGAGAGGAAAACAATGCTCTAAACCAAGCAAATACCAACCTGCTCTTCCCTCAGTGTGGCAGGGCTTACTCCCATGACTTTGCAGCCTGGCTGCACTTCAGCTGTGGGTGCCTTTCCAGGATGCTTCCCTGCCTGCAGGCAGGGCAGGATGGCAGGAAGCCACCCCATGCCAGGCTGACATGAACACCGGGACTGTGACAGTTCAGCTGCTGCTTCAGCTAATGCAGAGATGCCGACCAATGTCATTGTTTCACCTTTACGGTGAGTAATGGAAAGTGCCTCAAGGTCTTTTTTGTTTCTTTCTCTCCCTTCTCCACAAAAATAACTAGCAGAGCTCATATCTGGCTGCTCCTTCACCATTAACAAAAGCTCCTGTGCATAACTGATCTACACTGCTCTTTCCCCAGGGAATAAAACCCTGCTCTGCATCCAAGTCACCCTGCCTAAATGCCTCCTTGCCTTGAGTGAGGAGATTTGTCACAGCACTTGTCCTGATGGGTGGTTCGCTGCTGTCTAAGGACATCCAGCCACCATCTTGGCTGCTGTGGAGAAGGGCTGGAGGGCAGTGCAGTGGTGATTACCTGCTGTACGGTACCCTGCAGTAACTTGCATATCAGCAGGAATAGCAGCAGGTTGACACTTGACTTTGCACAGCACAAGTGGGGCGTGTTTTGTAGATACACGAATAAAATGCAGTAAGTTGGTCGGGGATCTCAGCACCATCCAGCCCTTCACTGCTAAACCAGATGCTTTCAGCAGCCCCACGATTTCTACCTGCTGCAGAGAGGGGGATGGGCATGAATGCACAGAACTCAAATTGGGCTGGGCATATGGCCATTCCTCCTGAGGACAGGGCTCAACCCTCGTCTCCAGCCTGGCTGGGAAGAGGACTTCTGTTGGAGGCAGAAAGCTACACCCAGCTTTCCCTCTCTGCAGCTCACTGCTTCCAATCACACCCTTGCTGGAGGCCAACCTCATATTCCCTGCTGAGCACCATGAATCTGCAGGATTGAGACCAATAAAACTGTGGTTATTTGCAATAATGACACTGGGAAGAATGAAGAAAAAAAAATCTTAAATGGATTAACAAAGTATGTATGCCTGGTCTGCATACAACCTATGTCTGCTGTCTTGTATCCGTTAGTGGTGTGAACAGTATGTTCCTCTCATAATTCTGTCATTGTATCTCAATCCCGACCCGTAATTTCTTCTCCCTTCTTCCTCTCCATTGCTTTACTCCCAGAGCAGGGAAGGGAAGCTCCACATCTGTGGTTATCGTATGGTGTGGAAGAAAATAACTCTTCAAATTGACAGTATCTTACAAATATTAAAAATGTCAAGCATGTTTGGAATCACTAATCAAGCTTTGGCTTCAAGCTGAGCAGGTCACTATTATTATTGCCATTTGACAAAGAGGAGGATATGAGGCAGGCAAAGTTGAACCTTCTTTTCACCAAGCTCACACAAGAAATTAGGTGGGGGAACCAGGCGAAGCACATGGATTTTTATGGCTCCCAGTCCTGTGCTCTAGCCACACAGTCAGTTAGCCACAACCCAGTGCCAAAGGGCAAAAGATCAAATAACATAAACTTATCCACAAAATGTTCACGTGTGAATCTAAAGCCATTAGTTTATTTGCTTAGTGCAAGCAACTCTTTTATCCCATGTCCATCATGCTGTGCTTCTGACAGAACTTATTTTCAGTAATAAAACTAAGGCTATGTCATACAGTGTGGTATACAGGCAATGTGAAGATAATGTCTTGAGGACAGACATGCCTCAGAGAGATGTACTCATCAAGACTTAAAGAACTGCAGTGAATTTCTATTCATATCAGTGAATCCAGGACTTTGTTTGCAGGTTCTAAACCAAATCCTTTTGCCACACAGGCTCTGATATGCCACTGGGTTTCTCTTTTCCTTCCCTCTGCTTTCCAGTTATTTAGAGGAATTTTAAAAGAATGTCTCACAAAGCTGCACCAAAGGTCCTCAAAAAAGGACCATGTAGCTCAGTGCACAGAAATTTCTTGTTCTTTCTGTCAGCACTTCTGTACCTACACTCTTTCCAAAACATTCACTTGTCCAACATAATGCAATGTGGTTGCACAGAGCTTTACAGACTCCAGAGTAACACCAACTCCCCTCCCACATCATGTGAAGCTCGTGAACAGCACATCTGCACAGATCTACTCCTGCCTTTTTTGTGCTTTGATATATTTACTCGCGCACCCACAGCTCTTTTTACAAGAAACGTGATTCTTACTTTCATGGCTGTGTTAACATGACACCAAAACCTGCTCCTCCGGCAGTTTGCAGGGGAATGAGGATGTCACACTGACACATCCAGGGCTTGATCTGAGAGCAAACAAGGACTGCAAAGAAATAAACCTCCAGTTTGAATGGGCTTGGCTGGGAGGAGAAAACTCTCCCGGTTTTCAAGCACTCAAACCCTCATGTGTTCAATGGTGAGGGGAACCACAAACTGCTAGGGGTAGGAAGACGGCAGAGGTTTTTATGCTTTATACCATCAGAAGACTTTGCCTTATACTTCCTTCTTTCCCTACAGCTTCTGAACTCTAAGTCAGGTCTAACCTGCACTGGCTTATGCTGTCATAGACCAGACATTTTGAAACAGAAGGCTGACTGCTGCCCTCCACTACCTTCCCCTAACCACCTTCCAGTAGTTCTGGCACAGCAGACAGAGAGACTTGTCTCCTTTTGTCACCATATGCATGCTTTTAGGGCACACAATGACAACCAGGACAAAAATACCACTGGGATTTCATTGTATTGTGTCGATGCAATGTAATTTGGCAGCACACAGAGAATGCAGCAGAAAAACAGCAGGGAAGATGGTGACGGGAAACCACACACTCAGGCTGCAGGAGTCAGGACTCAGTTTACATAGGGTCCTGGAAGCCAAATGTAAGTGGGACACATACACATGTACATGGCATGCACATGCACACAGACAGACACACAGACCTATGGAAATTAGTCAGGAGGTGCAGGAAGCATTTGAGCACAGCCACAAATGCAGAGATCAGTAGCTTATCTCCCAGACCTCTTAGAAAGAAGGGGCACAGGGACAGGAGTTGTTATAAGTCTGTGTAATCACTCCTTTGCTGCCCTAATCTGGGGGCTCCTGACAGAATCACGGTGCTGGCAGAACTCATGCAGATACTAAAAGGTTAAGAAGAGCTCAAATCCAGATCTCCTGTGAGACAATGTGGTTGGAATTCTTGATTACTACATGTGTTGTAATTATTTCCTGTCTCTGAGGAAAATGAAACATCTCTAGGCAGGCAAAAGCAAGGGAAGGGGGAAACAGGAGTATGGAAATCACTGAAGAGGAATTTATAGGTAAGGCATCCAAAGGAAATACCACATGGTGAGGCTAGGCAGGTGAAAACCTTAATGGGTGAATTTTGCACCAGTAATGAATAGATTGATGGGTTCTGCTTCTCATACCACACACCATCTTTTCCATGAGAAAGAGGTAATACAATTTTAATTGCCTACATTGAGTTTCGGAGACAACTGTGCAAGACAAACACCTTTCAATATTATTTTTACCTTGGGTCACCATATTTTCCCCAAAACTCATGCTGAGGCTGTGCACATGGATGCCATACCCTGTGCCCCCAGTGAAGAAGACAAAAGTGCTCATTCCCTTCTTTAAGAAAAAAAAAAGGAAACAGTATTTTCATTTTCACACTAGCAGCAAGCAGCAGGTGAGAATCAAGAGGTGCTAAGAGATGCAAGCGTGTCCTTTCCAACAGATACCTTCTTCTTCGCCAGCAGTAAGTCCTGGTAAGCACTGGAACGGAGGAAGCGCGCATAGCTGTCACTCTTCATCAGCTTGTAAATGTGCTCCTGTGGGACGGGAGGAAATGAGAGACAGAGAATTGTTATCAAACCTCATTTAGACATCACAGAGATTTAAAACACAGTAAATTAGAAGGAAGAGAGACTGATCAAAGTTCTAAGTAAGGCTGCTATTATTGATTATCTGTGCTGTGGTAGTGTACGGGAGGTCCATCCTGGGGCAGGATCCTGCTGTGCCTAGGGCTGTATAAACACCAAACAAAGAGATGGCCCTCACCCCAAAAGCTGGCACACATTATTTGATAATCAGTGTTATTCTGCAAAGACTGCAACTCTCTTAAGTCTCCAGATTATAAGCAGGTGCCTAGCCTGTCTGAAGCTACTGGGATGCCTCTAGAAGGAAGAAATAAACACCAGAAACTGTCCCATAGATTAGGTTTCATTTTACCACTCCTAGATACCTGGACTATCACCCAGCATTCCCCTCCTGTTTACAGAAAGGAACTGATACTTGAGACACATTTCATCTCCACTTAAGACATGTATTTAAGCAAGCAAACCTGCTAATATCCTGAAAAAGCCCATACCTCTGGTGACTATGCAGGAGGTTACATGACTAGCTCAGATGTGGATGGCTACATCTTACATTGGGTGAGTTTCTCTTTTGGGTTCTTTCTTCTCCTAGCAAGCCTAACTCCTGTTACCAGTTTGCTCTAAGAGAACCTAGTATGTGTATATTCAAACTTACAAAGTAGTGTTTCATTGCAGCAGAACTTAACACATACCCTTTTCTAATTTCCTTCCTTAGTTTTACTTTCCTGCTGAGAATCCCTCAACACAGTCAGCTCTTCTCCTAGTTATCCCTAGTTTTGTAACAGATATTATCCCAAACACAAAGAAAATAAAATCAAAATACTTTGACCAAATAATGACTGAGAACACACAAAAGGAACTCAAGAGAAAAACAGGCATCCTGGGCATTTCTCTTAGACTTTGCCCAAGGAAGCACTTTTACAGAGTTAATGAGCAGTTTTATCTATACTGATTTATACAACATGAAATATTCTCTCCTATCCTAAAGCCATTGTACATGAAACTTTAGAAGAACCAAACCAGACAGAAGTCGCACAGCTTATTTCAGTGTGTTAACAAGCCAAGCAGAATTCCCTTATCTTCACCAACATGGGTAATTAGCAATGACCTGTCTATACACAGAAGAACTGCTTAATTCAGCTTTCTTACACTATTCGGTGTAGTCCTAAGAGGGGCATAACTGCCACTGGTTTTCCTACGACACAGCATAAATGTATCCTTTGAGCTACAACCTGGTGTGGAACAATTTTTACTGGTTAATTTCCATACTTGCTTTTAGTCTTGACAGATCCTCATTTGTGCAGCATTAGTTAACTGAAGGACAGCACAAGATTTTGCAATAGAAACACTCATATAAAGCCATTTAGCAAATGTCACCCTTCTTGCTTCAGAAAAAAACACATGGGAGGGCACAGTTTCACACTCCTCACGTACAGCATTGCCATAAGATTTCACATCCAGCTGTGGGACATTTGTTCTATTTATGCAGGATACCATGAGCCAAGTATGCCCTAAGACAAGAGAAGGGAAAATAATACACATCGTGGATATGGTTGTCAAAAGGTTTATATTTCTCTGGTGTGAATAAGGATTCTCAACATCAGTTCTCTCCTAAATACTTCAACTAGCAGAAACTCAGGACTCAGTTGATTTAAACCCAACCAGTTTACCTGTACTGTTATTTCTTAAGGTTTCCAAGGAGACTCCATGTCCTCCTAATAAGTTCTTTATAATTACTGGTGAAAAGCCCCTGCCTAACTATGTGATTTTCCAGGACCACAAGGAGACTGATGAGTAAGTGGGGTAGCCCATCAACAGTAAAGGGCCTGAGGGGGTCTCCAGAGTCTTCTTCCTCTTAGTGGTCCTCATTGCAGCAGCCAGCACATGGAGGGTGCTGGTGGGAGGGGGTGCTGAGGTGGGCAGGAAGGTGCTGTGGGGCTGAGGTGCTGCGGGGCTGGTGGGTGACAGGGGTATTTTTATTAACCTTTTGCTAGACATGATTAATTTTTTTACTGTCTTTGGACTTGAAATGGTTTCTTTCCCCATGGTCAGACAACTGGGTCTGCTCCGAAACACAGTGACAACATATTTAGAAAATAACATACAGCTTTCATTGCCACACAGACAGAGGCAAAGGAGAACACACCAGGCTGGCCATACAACCTGCCTGCATGCCAGTGACAACTATCATTCTTGCTCATGTCAAGACAACTTCATGTATTTGACCTTAAAACAGTATAAACTCAGTATCTGGTGGTGAGAATGGGAAAAAATTGATTCAATCCCGAGATAAAATAAACCACAAGGTGACTTCGTAACTGAAGCCCTTCCCTGAAATAGGACTATTGCACCACCACAGCCCCACTGCCACTGCAGTTGGCTAATTGGTTTGAAGCATTTTCTCTGCTTTTCACATCTTGGAACCACCGAGCAGCAATACTGGTACCTTTCAGCTGTTCACCAAAGATAAAATCAAACAGGTTTTGAATGCTAATGAGGGAAGAAGGTTGGGCATAGGAAAAGGAGAGATATGCATAGCTAGAGAAGCAAACTTTAGTGCTTAATTGTAAGAATTCAAAGGGCTTGCTTTGAAGAAGCTCTGGACTGGAGGCATGAATGATACACAACACTGCATTTCTGAAGCACCTATTGGAAGTCTGAGCCAGTCGCTCAGGTCAGCAAAGACTGCCTTCCAATTTGCAACAGTACAGGACAGCTTACATTGCTGCAGCCAAAATTCCCACTGAGACTGCACCATAAAGATTCCTGCTAAAATTGTGGCTGCAGTGTGTTTTGAGCCCACTTACACAACAAATCTAGCTGCAGGATGGGAAATGCCAGTGGCTGTGACATTTGTTTTAATATTTAGCTTACCCTGTTCTTTGCCACCAAGCTATTTACTGCTATACTTTCTAGAATCTGCAACTTTCTAGGGAGAACCTACAGCTAGGGTTTAGCAGCTCCTCATTTCATAAATACATTGAAAGCTACTGGAGGTCTAGCAACTGGCCATATTCAGTGGAAGTCCAAGCAATGAGCTTATCAACAAAGGTGCAGGTTTGGATATAGTTGCTCTGTGCAACTTGTACAAATTGGCTTGTCCTCCTCTATTATGGATTTTTAGCTCACTTTGGATCATTGCAACCCACTGGTCTCTCACTTTTTATTTTACTGAGGAGCTGCTTTTGTTCCACCTTTTCATCACATGATGGAAAGGAAGGACACTCTCATTAAAGACTGAGATTTCCCAGTGCAGCCAGCTACTCTAGCGATGCACTTAATACACATGCATGATCTCCCTGACATACCTGACACTGCTGGCAAGAAATCTGAGCCTTTCCATCCTTATGCTGAAATAACTTTCCATTTTGTAACATTTTTTACATGGTAATGAGTTCACTATTGCTGGTTCCCTGAATACACAAAGTAAATGCACTACTTGTATAATTTTTAAAAGCGCAGCTGCAGCTCTGGACATTACTTGCACTGCAAGCAGTCTGGCCAGAATTACCACTGCATCACTTCTTTACAAGTGCCATGGGAAATTCCTGTGCCCCATCTGCACAAGAGCAGGAAAAACACTTCATCTAGGCAGTGTAGCCTCTCCCAGTCATTGCTGGATACCACTTCCCAAATAGGGTTCAGACTTGAAGGTCCCTGCTCTAGCCTTAAGACAGCAATCCTTTAGGGAGTCATGTTGCAAAACCAAGAATTTAAGACAATCATCTAACAGAATTGCCCAAGTGATCTATTAAGCCATCGAGCTACCAAGGGTAGCTTATAAAGTCAGATAAAAAGCAGAAAAAATAAGTCTGTTAAGATTTAGCCAGGAGTTGACAGGCATCACGTGTCCCACTGGTCTCCCCTGCAGCCTTGCCAGCTATTTCTGAGCAGCAAGCTGCCATCTCAGGCCACTGCAGTGGCAGCTGCACGTGGAGACAGGGACTGACTTGACATGTGAGAGCAAGCCCTGGTGAGCTGGTTTTCTGAGCTGACTGGTCACTCGGTCCCTCACCCAACGTGCTGTTGATGAGTGCTGGCTGGACTGATGTTCCCCTGCGACAACAGATGTATGTTTGGAAATGTCAATCTAACATGGAGGGTGACATAAGAACTTGCTTTTGTAAGTACAGTGTATTTCATCTCCAGGAAGCAAACACTTCCCTTACAAGATTCCTTCAAGCAGTGCAGGTTTGTTGTCAAACACCCTCATGACTGTTGTTTCCCAGTTCTTGAACCAAGTCAACAGAGGCAATGGGATCTACTTGCATCTCTTCTTAAGAAAAAGGCAGATCCCTTTTGTGTTTTATGCACCCTAATCACATCTCCTGCATAGTGGGAAGAAATATGCAGTAGTGCTGAGGGCTGTCCAGCTCCGTCAAACATATTCTCTATACCTAGTCTTCTATCATGAGAGTTATACTTCAGACAGCATAACCATTTCATATGCCATCACCATTGCATGATATAAAGGAGAACAAACGGTACATTTTAAAGGGGAAAATGTTGTCCCTTCTAGAAAACAAAGGAACCAACCAGGTAAATCACAAAAAAATTAGTTTCTACACTTATGAGAAACCAAGAGGAAATCCCACTCCTGACAGCTGACAGCTTTAAGTGCAGGGAAATAAACCCTCATGAGGTTCCGCATCTCCTGACTTATTTTCCTTCCACAAGCTTTACCTTTGGAAAGAGATGAAGGACAAGCTTTGTAAATTTTTCCTGATGAGAGGGGAAAGGGGGAGGAAAAAATAAAGAAAGTTTGCAATCCAGATGGGAATGTGGGAGGTGGTTGAGATAGCAGAAACTGTCTCGAAGCTGCACCTGCTTCAAATCAATATGCTGCTATGTGATCTCAGGACTCTCTTCCCCCTCGCAGTCAAAGCACAATAACCTTGGGGAGGGCACTGCTGCCAGATAAGCAAGACCTTGGGAACACTCAAGAAAAATGTGGG